CCTGTATAAAGACCAAGAAGCAGTCATTTGAACAGAACAAGGGGATACTGCATGGTTCAAAATCAGGAAAGGTGTGCATCAGGGTTCCACCTTTTCACCATGTTTATTCAATCTGTATGCTGAGTAAATAATCCGAGAAGCTGGACTATATGAAGAAGCATGCAGCATGAGGACTGGCAGAAGATTCATTTGCAACCTGTGATATGCAGATGACACAACCTTTTTGCTGAAAGTGAAGAAGAGTTGACTAATGAAGACCAAAGACTACAACCTTCATTATAGATTATCCCTCAAAGTAAACAAAGATCCCCACAATTGAGCCAATAAGCAACATTATTATAAACAGAGAACATACTGAAGTTGTCAAGGACCTCATTTTACTTGGGTCCACAGTCAATGCACATGGAGGAAGCAGTCAAGAAACCAAATGATGTACTGCATCGGGCAAATCTGCTTCAAAAGATGTCTTTAAAGGGTTAAAAAGCAAAGATAAGATTTTGAGGAATAAGTGATAAAGATGCACTTTGTCCCTGACACAAGCCATGGTGTTTCCAATTACCTCATATGCATGTGAAAGCTGGGTGATGAATAAGGAAGCCCAAAGAACTGATACCTTTGAATTATGATATTGGCAAAGAATATTGAATACACCATGGACTGCCAGAAGAACAAACAAATCGGCCTTGGAAGAAGTATAGGCAGAATACTCTTTAGAAGTGGGTGGCAAGGATAACAAAGCTGTCTCACTTACTTTGGACATGCAATCAGGACAGACCAGTCTCTGGAGAATGACATCAAGATTGGTAAATTAGAAGGTCAGAGAAAAAGAGGAACCTCAATGAGATGGATGGACACAGTGGCTGCAACAATGGGCTCACACACTGCAATGATTGTGAGGATGGCACAGGACTAGGAAGTGTTTATTCTGTTGTACACAGGAGTGTTATGAATTGGAACCAACTGGAGGGCACCTAATAACAACATTCCCCAACTTACTCAGGAGAATGTAAGGAATACTTTGTATCTGCTGTTGTAACTCTTCCCTTTTACATACAAAGCTCTCCTCCAACTTTGTCCCATACTACTTGTGGTAGTTAAGATTATGTGTCAACTTGGCTGGGCCTGGTTTTGAGGGGCTGGGCAGCTGGATGTAGGGATTGCCCATCATGAGACTGGTAATCAACTCCATGGTGGAATTTGCTGTGAGCTGCTGAGTAACTGCCTTAGGGATGTGGTCTGCTTTGAGTACATAAGAAGATTTGAGAAAAGTCTCTGAGATTTTTGATACTCTTGGGCCCTGCACGTAGCCAAGTCTTCATTCAGCAGCCTGCCACATTACCCGCTGACTGTGGGACTGTTTCTGGACTTGAACTAGTGGCCTGCCGTGTTGCATAATAATCTTGGAACTGGGCCAGTTTACTTGTCAGCCTTGGGTTTGTCAGCCTCAGCAGCTAGCAGCTATCTGAGTTAACAGAAACTTCCAGCTCCAGGGGCCTGGGAGAAAGGGCAGAGCTGAAGCCCAAGGTCGAGGGGCCTTCACCCAGCCCCTCTAGCCAGCACTCTGAATTTGGACTTCTTGCCTCCTAAACTGTAAGAGAATAAATTCCTGTTTGTTGTAGCTATCCACTTTGTGGTATTTCTGTTATAACACCACTAGAGAACTAAGACAATACCTCTTGAAATTCCCCACCAATTCCCAGTCACCATATCTTTCTAATGTTTTTTAAAAACTTTCCTCTCTTGGAATTTGCTCTTATACGATCATTCTATTTCCTGTATCATCTCAGAAGTTTAGCTTCATATAAAGCTAATTTGCAGTTCTTATTCCTCTACTACTACTTGACAAGCTTCTCAAATGGGAGGGGTAATATTCATAATACTGTTACACCTTCTTATCTCCAATGCACTTTTTGTAGTCATTTCCACCAGTACTCAGCCATGGTTGCTTCCTCTTTTGCTGTAACTGCTAGTCATATGCTCTATCTGGTCTGAAGCTTATAGGAAATAATCACAATGACAGATAATCGACAATGACTAATACACAAACACTATATGGAAAGTTGACTTTCTCAAGTTTAATTAAATAGTTACTGATGAACATCAACATTTAAAGTGCCAAGAAATACAGAGAGGGTAGATACTAATTAAACAATTTAAGGCTTTCTCCTTTCCTATGTAAAGGGCCATAGGAAAAGTAGAAGCAGGACTCCAAACACTCTCTCTTCAGCCCAGCAGGCCTGACTGACTCTTGTGGGACAAAAGGAAATTGTTGCTCAGTGGGGAGGGAAGTGACATCTCTACTAGCCCACAGGCCTGGCCTGAGCAACAAATTCCAAAGCCTATTTTGCCTGTGGAGCTCTGGCAGCATAGTGCCTAAGGCACTTGACTGCTAACCAGAAGGCTGGTGGTTCCAACCAACTAGCCACTCCTTGGAAGGAAGATTGGGCAATCTACTTCCTTAGTGATACTGCCTGGGAAACCCAAGGAGGTATCACTATGAGTCAGGTCTGACTCAACGGCACATGAAAACAGCAACATTTTGCCTGTATCACCAGCTCAGTGTAAACGACTTGGTAAAGCCTAAGTTTTACAAATGACTTTTATTAAATAAGACTTCCAGATGGATATCAATTTCTAATTTTTTGTACCTTAATGAAGATAATTCTTTAGGCTGCCAGCCAAAGCAGTTTGCATTTCCTGTGATGAAATGCAACTCTGGCAAATGGGACTGCCAAGCTTACAGGGAGACTCAGGGAGAATAGATAATGAACTTATGCTCTTTCTTCTTAATTGTGATTTGGGCACAAATTTACAAAGCAGATTCGTTTTACTCACAACAGTTCATGCACATTTGCTTTCACAGCCAGATTATAATCCCAACCATAAAAAGACTCTCTTCTATGCTCTTTCTTTAGGTGCTAGATGCTGGCAAACTATCTGTCCCTCCTTAGGAACTCTTCTTGCTCAAACCAGTTAAAGCTGGAACCATGAGGCCATCAAGTAGATCAACTGTTTCCCATTTTAAGAGTGAGGAAGCTATTTAAAGTTTGTTAAAATCAATGCATGTCCAATGGCACATGAGTTACTAACATGGTCATAAATATTGGTTAAAATTTGACATGGAAGTTTACATACTGCCACAGAGATGGTCTGTTATGGTGTGGAACAGATTTGTGTACTATATATGTACATATATATATATATATATATATATATATATATATAGTTGTTGTTGTTGTTTTGCCGTCGAGTCGGCCCCGACTCATAGCGACCCCTCCTTGGGGTTCCGAGGCAGTACCACTACGGAAGTAGGATTGCCCAACCTTCCTTCCGAGGAGTGGCTGGTGGGTTTGAACCGCCAGCCTTCTGGTGAGCAGTCAAGTGCCTTAGGCACTATGCTACCAGAGCTTTTATATATATATATACACATACACACACACACACATATATATAAATACACAGTATTTGTGTGTGTATATATATATATATATATATATAAATACAAAATATTTGTGTATTTTATATATATATATAAATACACAAGCTCATATATATATATATGAGCTCTGATGGCATAGCGCCTAAGGCATTTGACTGCTAACCAGAAGACTAGTGGTTCAAACCCATCAGCTACTCCTTGGAAGGAAGGTTGGGCAATCTACTTCCATAGAGATACCGCCTTGGAAACCCAAGGAGGGGTCGCTGTGAGTCGGATCCGACACGATGGCAGTGAGTTTGGTTTGGTTTATAGTGGCTAAAGCATTTGTCTGCTAACCAGAAGGCTGGCGGTTCAAACCCACCAGTCACTCCTTGGAAGGAAGGTTGGGCAATCCTACTTCCGTAGTGATACTGCCTGGGAAACCCAAGGAGGGGTCGCTATGAGTCGGGGCCGACTCGACGGCACATAACAACAACAACAACATATATATAAATGTGAATGTATGTATATATATATACCCCCTTCGACTCTTTGTCTCACATTTTCTCAGGTTATGAGGAAATCCTTCAAAATGTCTTCTGCTTGTTAGAAAGAAAAGTGAGAATGAGTGGACGAAAAGAAAAATGACCTTGGAAAGAAAGCTGAAGAAAAGAAATGTATTGATTCTGGTTTTCTCCCCGACTTTTCAGCTCCCCACTGTCCCCATCTCTGGTTTGATTGAGGCTCTATTCCCTCTCCAGCTCTCTCTGTTCCCCACAGTCCAGAACGCCAGCCGATAAGGTTTCTACATTTTGAAAACCCAAGCGGGGCTGCTTCAGCTGGGCATGCTCAAAAGCTGAGAACTGGCTTTTCTCGGCTTCCAACTTTGGCAGCTCTCCCACCCTCACACCGAGGGGGCAGGTCTGCACAGATCCCTCAGAGTGAGTAAATAAGAAACAAAATTATCGCACTGCCGCGGAGGGAGCGGCGGTAGGGAGCGCGAGGGACCCAGAGGCCGCCTTGGCCTCCCGGGCCAGTTCCGCGCTCCCGGTACACTTCCAGGGGGCGCGCAAGGGCGCCCGGACCTCGAGGGATGCGCGGCGCCGGGAAGTGGAGAGGGGCGTCGGGAACGCGGGGACGCGCGCCCCTTCGAGGGGGCGCTGTCCGTGGCACGTGCGCGGGAGCGCGCTCTGGGAGTGGTCCCAAGCTAGCAGGGGGGCGGGTAGGAGGGGCGGGTAGGGGCGGGGCCGCGGCGGCGTGCGGACGCCAAGCTCCGCCGGGCTTTGGAGGTTGCAGCGCAGCCAGCGGCGGGAGGGTGGCAGCTGCTGCATCTGGAAGCTCCCAACCTGGGGCTTCCAGACGCGCCAGGAGCGGAGCCCGGCCTCGAGGAGAGCGGCTCGAGGCTGCCTACTTCTTGGCGGGTACCTTTTTCCTGGACTCGGTTGACGAAGTGGGTGAGGGTGGTGTGGCCCACGTCCGGAGACATTGGAACAGCCGCATCTAGAAAGAAGCAATCCACCTGTATTTAGGGAGAGCACAACGGACGTGGAAGGAGCGGCGGTAACCTCTAGCTCTTGCCACAATGGGTTGTACGCTGAGCGCCGAGGACAAGGCAGCGGTGGAGAGGAGTAAAATGATCGACCGGAACCTCCGCGAGGATGGCGAGAAGGCTGCGCGTGAGGTCAAGCTGCTGCTGCTCGGTAAGGGAGCCCGAGTCCGACGCCGGGGTGGGTGGGAGACGCCCCGGGGGTCCTGGGGGCCGGGGGAGAGCGGGCTGCTGGGCTGGGTGCGGTGTGCAGAGCTGGCGGCTGGCGGCTGCCGGCAATGTGTCGGTGCGTCCGAGGGCTTGTCTTGTGGCGCCGGAGGATGGTTTCTGAGAGAGAGCCTGTCTTGTGCGGTGCATTGCCTAGGCGGGTCCTCCTGTCCTAGTCCTCTCCTCCCGTCGCCCTGGAGGGTGAGAACTAGCCTGCCTCGGGGCGGGAGCCCCACTGCATTCGGAAGCCTTCGTATGGACCCTGCAGGGGACCAAGGAGCGATTTTAAGGTGGCAGATCGATCGCGCGGAAACCCTTTCTGTGAAGTTAGCTTAGCCACGTAAAGATGAGGAGCATTGGCCACAAGAAAATAAAAGCTGCTCCGGCTCCCAAGACCTTTCATACTAGCTGTTGTATCGCAGTTGTGGTTTTTCTTGTCGCGAGGGTGGTACGTTCCGTGAAATCTGTGCGCCTTTTGTGGGGCCTCTTTGGGGTTGAAATGTGTGTTTTCTGTCAACTTGCGATGGCGATTCAGTAAGTGTTAAAGGAACACTGATTGTATTTACCTTGCGTAAGGGAATAGACTGCTTTGGGTACTCAATTTTATTACTCTGGGGACATGGACACCATCAAAGTTGGGTTATGCTCCGGTAGTAAATCAGACACATAGATGCTCAAGTGGTGAAAACCGATGTGAAAGGTGCGAAAGCGTCACACCGACAACTGGAGTCTCCCTCCTTGCCAGGATTTCTGGTGAATGAGGTTTGCCAGGTACAAGCCAGGCTTTTTATTTGTTCTTGGTTCTGTTCTCCTGGTGAAACTCTACGCAGAGGTCTTTTTCCATTATTGAAGGGGAGGAAAATCAAAAGAGTAAACTAGGGTTTTGACTGAGGGATATATTAGGAAAATATTCACAGTTGAAGATTTTTTAGTTCAGTGAGTTAGGGTTTTCTTTTGTTTCCTTGTTCTGCCCCCCTCCCCCCTCGCCCCACTCTAGTTTCGGTAAAGACACATTTCTCAGAATCTTCATTGACACTTCCAGCGATTGCATATAGATATATGTGCGCGTAGATTATGTATATATGTTATCTTTATATATAACAAAGCACAAATATCGCACAAACCTATTTTCAGCAAGCTTCTGTATCTTTGGTTTAATGACTGCAGAAAAAATGGTGGCTTTTTTCCTCCATCGCTAGTGAGATTAGAAGCAGGAAAGTTGGCATGACTAAAAGTAATAATGATCTGAGTCATTTTGAAAGTAAACTGTGAAATAACTTTGCATTTTAAAGACCTGGGTGGCTTTTTCTCCTCCCCCAGGGTAAGTCTTCTCTGGTAATACTGTTTACCTGGTATTTTTAGGTTAATAAGAAATGCAATGTTTTTTGACAAGTCAGGATATTTGTGGTGTACTGAGCATAGAAAAGGAGCTCTGGTAGCATAGTGGCTGAGGCACTTGACTGGTAACCAGAAGGCTGGCGGTTCAAACCCACCAGCCACTCCTCGGAAGGAAGATGGGGCAATCTACTTCCGTAGTGATACTGCCTCGGAAACCCAAGGAGGGGTCACTATGAGTCGGGTCGACTCGATGGCACATAACAACAACAACAAGAGCATAGAAAAGACACAACTTGCTGAGGGGAACACTGACTGACATTGCTTGGTTTGTGAATCCAGTGTACTTAAGAGTGAAATAAACAGAGGATTAAAAAGTTCTTTTATCTAGTTGCTACCTTCTTGCTGTGGTATTACTGTTTTTTGTGTATTTCAGAATAACTTAGTTTGAGCCAGCCATCCACCATGTTTGAGACAATTACAGAATGATTCCTCTGGTGGTGGTGTTTTATGCTTTAATGAAATGTCTATTAGAAACCAGCCACTCCGTGGAAGGAAGGTTGGGCAATCTACTTCCATAGAGATACCGCCTTGGAAACCCAAGGAGGGGTCACTATGAGTCGAATCGACTGGATGGCAGTGAGTTTGTTTGTTTGTGTTATTAGAAAGGGATGGACTGAGGCCTGAAGAGTTTATTTTTCCTTATATTCAGAATAGATCAATGTTTCTCAACCTTAACACTGTTGATACTCTGGGCAGAATAATTTTACATTGTGGAGGCTGTCCTTGCATTGTGGGATGTTTTAGAAGTGTCTCTGGCCTCTATTGATTAGATGACAGTAGTCTCCTCAAGTTGTGACCCACCAAAACCAAACCCACTGCCTCGTTGATTCCAACTCAGAGACCCTGTAGGACAGAGTAGAACTGCCCAGTAGAATTTCCAAGGTTGTAAATCTTTAAGGAAGCAGACTGCCACATCTTTCTGTCTTGGAGCTGCTGGTGGCTTTGAACCACCAACCTTTCTGGTTCGCAGCTGAGTGCTTTAACACTGTACCACCGGGTGACTTCCAGTTTTGACAACCAAAAATATTTCTAAACACTGCCAAACATTTCCAGGGAACAAAATCAGCCCTGTTGAGAACACCTAGCCAAGATTAACAAAGACAGTTGAAAGTGTGAGGTAGAACCAAAAGTTCCCCCTCTCCAGCATTCTATAGTGAGAATCATAAGGACTGTGTAGCAAAGTCATGATGTTCAGGGGAAATTATTCTAATTTCTCTGTACCAATCACATTAAAAAAGATTTCAAAATGAAAACCATTTTAGGTAAATCAATTCCTTTAGCTGTTTTTTCTAGCTCTGCATTTTCTCTCTTCATCCCATTGCTCTGCAGAAATCCTGTTCCATCTCTCTGGCTGGGTCCACCCTCCTCCTGTCTGTCACCCCATCCTACTCTACCCTTTTGCCTCGAGTTCCCACACAACAGAATGCTGGTGCACTTATTTCACAAATCTTAATTCTTGGAATGTTTGAAAATGTTTTTTTCCTAATTTGGTTTTTAGAAGTAATGTGTGAACTTTGATTCTTTTTTGGATGTTTAATGCCGTATGTGTAAGCAAGCAGCTAAGTGAAGTCATTCCTTATAAAATTCAGCAACTGAATCAACTAGAAATGTAAAATGGTTTCTAGGGAGCTTGTATAACCAATATCACTACCATTTACATCGATTCTTCTTCCTCTTTGATTATTTTGTTTCTCATTAAATTATATATGTATTTTAATCTAACAGCATATCAAATAGTTTATTATATAGTATTTTTTCTCTTAAGGGAGGTATAGTCATTTTAGTCATCTGGGCTGAGAAAGTCATATGAGACTTACATATTATTAGTAAAATGGTAAAAGTCAGTTTCTATAAATTTTTTTTTCCTGGTCATTGGTATTTTATTATCCTTATTAGAAGCAGTGAATTAGTCCTTATAAAAGAAAGGACATGATCTAATCTTTGACCTAAAGGAAATAAGGTCAAGTTTTAAGTGGCTTAAATTTTTTAGATTTAGTTTTTGGGCTTAAATATTACAATAATAATCCTAAATTGAATCAGTCCCTGGAGAAGGACGTCATGCTTGGTAACATAGAGGACCAGTGGGGAGAGGAAGACCCTCAGTGAGATGGGGGGTGGCTACAACAGTGGGCCCAGCCACAGCAGCGCTTGTGCAGATGGCGCAGGACCAGAACCTGTGATTCGGAACCAGACCCGTCTCGACGGCGCGGTGCCTAAACACGGCCCTAAATGGACAGACCCGTCTCGACGGCGCGGTGCCTAAACACAGCCCTAAACGGAGAACGTTATTCTAATAATGCAGGTGTTTCCCCCCACCCGCACCCCCCACATTACATAATTGTCTCAGGGGAAAACATCTTTTAGTGTTACATTTTTGGGGTACCATTATTTATCATCTTGTTAAAACTAGTATTAGGCCTACACTGCTTTTCAGTAATACTGAGAGTCAAAATCAACTTGATGGCAGTGGGTTTGGTTTGGGTTTGTGGGTGGTAGTGTACATATGAGTCCTTGGTAAATATTTTGTTGTGATTTTCTAAGATATAAGGGGTTACATTATAAAAAGTAAGATTTCCACAAACGAAGTTTTACAAATCCTTCCATTCCAATACTCAGAGCTTTATTCTCCGTCATTCCATCTCATTAACCTTTGTTTTAGTCCACTTGCCCTACAAACAAACAAGCACCCGTATAGGTTAGGTGAAAATGAGGTCAGGGGGTTGGGTGTCTTCTGCTTGGTGGCAGTTCTTCCATTCTGTCATCAAGCACAGCTATTTTGGATGCTACATCATTACTCTGTTGCTCTCTTTGAATTTGCCCTCTGATTTCCCTAGTTGAGAAATTTTGGCATTGCAGGACTTTTGTATTTGCTTTAGTTATTTCCTTGGAATTGGCTCAGGATCTTAGATGTCAGAAGGTCCATTTCCTTTAATAAAGGGACCTGATATTTCAACATGGATTGTGTATTTCTCTCTCTTGGGCTTACCTTGCCCAAACAAATGTTTTAACAGAAGCCACAGGTGGTATAAAAGTATGTTTTGAAAGTGTTGATTTTCTGTCTCTTCTTTCTCATTCGCATTTTCATTATTTCAAATCCTTCTCCGGCTTTGGCAGCCAATTCCAGGAGGCTTTATAGCATCTGATTTTTCCTTTCTAGCTTGTTCTTTCTACCATTGGTTGTTGTTGTTGTTGTTATGTGCCGTCGAGTCAAACCCGACTCATAGCGACCCCTCCTTGGGCTTCCGAGGCAGTATCACTACGGAAGTAGGATTGCCCAACCTTCCTTCCGAGGAGTGACTGGTGGGTTTGAACCGCCAGCCGTCTGGTTAGCAGGCAAATGTCTTAGCCACTATGCTACCAGTAGCTTTTCAAAATAGGCTAATTCCTTGTTCAAAGACCTTTGTTGACTTCTCCATTGCCTGCAGAACAACACGAAAGTCTGCCTTCCCCCAGAGTACCCTGACTCCTGCAGGAGTGGAAGCATAACTCCGTTCTGGTTTATTGTGTCCTTTAGCCCTAAATCCTGCCTGTTTCCCTTGCTGTCCTGTG